ATTTCACCGAAGGTAATCCTAGTTGATTTTAAAGAAAGTTTCCTGAGGAGTAGGCAATCCAATTTACACCTTTTGCCTCGTTAAGATTTTCACTTCTCAATACAAGTATGATAATTAGTTTCTGGTACAGATTGGTAAGTTTTTCTTTCCAATAGGACTGATTCAATCGGATCCCTTCGAGGTAGATTTTCTATTTTCGTTAAACCGAAAGTCAGGAATGAGGTGTTGCCAAAATTTTATTCGGGTGAATTCCTCAGAATAGACTTGCGCGGTAGATGATCCTTGATCATGAGAACGGCAAGGAGATGTGCCATTTTGGAAGAGAAGGGTGAACGAGAATCTCGAGAAGGGATTTGTTTAGTGGTGAGACGTGTGGTTCAGTTTCAAGAATTTGAAAGAAAATGTTTCGGATATAGTTTCATATATAGATTTTGAGAGTTCCATAAAATATTGCACTTCCCGAGGATTCTACTGGGTCACAACCACTTTTCCAGAACGAGCGACAGCGACGCCATTTCTTTGAAAACGTTATTCGTGATTTTTTTGGTTAACGGAACCCTTCGTTTAGGAAGGTATGAACATTCATTTCGATCCTTTCAATTGCATATGAGATTCACCTTTTAGTGAATCGAACTTTTGAATGAATTTCCATTATGGAAATTGTTTTTTCAGGGTTTTTGTATTGGAGACTTTTTACAATAGTTTTTCTGCAGGAGAGCTTTTACAGAACTTGTCTGGAACCATTAAAGAGGGAAGAACAAGGGCTTCTATCTCTGATTGCCTTACGGAATAGATTTTCAGTTAATTTACCGAATGGTGGGTTTTTCATTCGTCCAGTTCGATAAATGTCATTGTCCACGTCCACAAGATAGAATTAGAATTAGAAAAGTACGTGCTCCAAGTTTGGCCCGTTCCTGGTCGAAGAAAACTACAGCTACAGCTCGACGAGAAACTAACAGGCAAATATTACTTACTCTTGACTCATTTTTTCGAAAATAACTACTTTTTGCATTAGAAATACTGATTTATCGACACGACACAATTATTGAATTTTGAGTTGATCCATAATGAAAACCTGAACTGAGTATACTCTGGTGAGGTAATTTTTTTACACCATTCCTAATAATACATTTGGACTATCCTTAGGTGAATGAAAACGTACTTTTATCTACGATCATTATTGAGTTATTACAATATTTTTACACACGATTAAATGACAAATTTGGAGCATATTCAGATTTTGATTTCTACCCTTATTCAATTTACCAGCCAGTATTATGTGAATATCAAGTATCTTCAGAATATCTGCTTTTTATAGATTCACTTCATTGCTGTGATTTAAAGAGCTCAATTTGATTAGAATTTGTTTCACAGTCGACCAGATCATGTATCATTCATTTTATTGGCTGTGTGGCGCCCAACTTAGATCTTTATAAAAGAAAATATTCAATTGCTGAAATTTCAAGATACAGAAAAGTTTTTTTGAACGAAACCCATAGTGCATACCGACGAAGAGCTGCCGTACGCATTGTGCCTATCTTTCGAGTAAATCTATTATAATTTTTGTATTACATGAAAGATAAGGTCACAACTGAACTACTGGTCGCAAATGTAAGAACCATATTGCGAATAGTCCTCTCGGTAGGACGATTATGGCGACCGTAAAATTGACGAAGCGCGCGGTACGTTGCCCGGACAGAACACCCATTTTGATAAAACAATTTTATTATTTGCAAGTTTTGTTGAATGCTATATCCGTCCATGGTTATTTGGCAAAACAGACTAAATAAATGATAACTAATTTGACAGATGTAGCTTCTACAAGATGGCTTCAATTGTCAAAGTTCGGAAGTCCCTATTGGCATGCAGGGTGTAACTGAATAAGTATAAACCATTCAAGGAGGTGATTCCTCATCGAAAAAAAGATAGGATTTTTCATATATAGAAACTTCATTGGAGCATCCCTTGTTAAGATACAGCCCCTTAAAGGGGGTACATAAAATTTGTGCAACAATTTTTTTCACAAGCACTGGAAAAGTTACAATATTGAAATTAACCTGATGTTTCGTACTACCAAAAAGACACTTAGCCAGTAATTATTTGGTTTACTCCATGGTTGTAAGGAATGGAAAACGCAACCCCTAAAATTTATTTCCAATGTAACTTTTTGTCTTATTATTCGTTTTCCATTTTAAAATTTATTTCCGATAGCCTATTTCATTCTAAACAAAAAATGTCTTTTGGGTTTTTTGCCCAAAATAAACCACTTCGCAGCAAAAAATTATTTTACGAACAACTACAGAGATACATCGTCATAACTGCGAACTGGATTTATTGTTATTTTGTAGTTAGTACCTGCTTTAAACGATTAAAGGGCAATGAACAAAACTAATTTATTAATAACAAAACACACAACATGTAGAAATCATAGTAAATATTCACTATATCTACGTTCAGACATTACGCATGCGTCTAGACGTCGGCGCATTAAGCCGCGTATTCGCTAAAATATTCCTGGAGTCTCTCTGATTACCCTGCACGCTTCGATGATGCGGTTTCTTAAGTCCTCTACATCGCGAACAGCAGTACGATAAACCAAATGCTGTAAATGGCCCCAAATAGAGAAATCGAGAGGATTGAGATCCGGGGATCGAGCGGGCCAGTTCTGTGGTCCTCCTCGACCTATCCACTGATTTGCATATATTTCAGTTAAATGCTGACGTGCTACTTGACTAAAATGGGCGGCAGCCCTATCATGCATAAAAACATATCCCTTCTGACGCCCAAAGGAACTTCCTTCAGCAGTACTGGATGCACTACTCTTAAAAATTGAACGTATGCCTCACCATTCAATCGAGGAGGTAGAAAATGAGGCCCAATCAAATCATCCCCAATAACTCAGAGCCACACGTTAAGAGAAAACTGTTCTTGATGGTTAGTTTCGACAATAGCGTGAGGGTTTTCATCAGCCCATATGTGGTAATTATGAAAATTAATAATCTTGTCCCGAGAAAAACTACATTCGTCTGTGAATTCTATCGTCACAATTTCTTCTAATCATTTCCAGCATCCAATTGCAAAATTCAAGACGGTTCGGAAAGCCTCGCGGTAACATTGCCTGTACTCGTTGCAGATTGTAAGGGTATAAGAGTTGTTCCTTTAAAATTCGAAATACCGTCATATGATCAACATTTAGCTGGAAAGCAATCTTTCTAGTACTAGTAGTAGGTTGTTCTTCAATCAAATTAAGTACTGCTTCCTCAAGTTGTGGTGTTCGTACTTCTCGATGGCGACCAAAATTCTGCGTTCTTTTGTCGAATGAATCATATTCTCGTAATCGTTGATGAAGTCGAGCAAATATTCTGCATGAAGGATGCTGCCGTTGAGGATACATTTCAGCATATCTTCTAGAAGCTTCTAACCCATTCCCCTGCAACAGATCGTAAACGTAATGCATATCAGCCATTCCCTCATTTGTGTATGCCATTTTAATAACAAGTGAATATGGAATATGCAGACAATTTTTTAATTTTTTTTATTCAATATTCACTTCATTTTGATATAGAAAAGAAAATAAACATAGCTGTAAGAGTAGTTATTATTTTTCATGAAATCTTAAAAATATTGGCTTCATAGGGCACATCCTTTCAGTTTATTGTTTACAATGAGAGTTAGTTTGATAGTTAACAAGGTGTTTTAGTTTAAATATCGCGTAATAGTCATGGAAGAAGAAACCAAGTCATTTTATAGATATTGCATGGTACCAATGTGTCCGAACACTATAAAAAGTACACCAGATAAAGTTTCATAACCTTAAAGTTCATAACCTTATTTACGTATGTCATACAATGAATGTAAACAACATTTGAGGTTATATTGAGGGAAATCATTTTATAAGTGCATGTATGCATAAAAACAGATTTACTAGATTAAAAATACCATGTTTTACAATAATTACCTTGCAGCTTTTACTCCCTTAACCTCAGCAGATGTAAAATCCGGGTTTGACGCAAAATATGTGGTCATCATGAATGCATCTATTTTTGGAAGATTATCCGACTGTGCTTTCACAAAACCGTTGTCCGTCATTGCTGTTGATGACGCTTAGTATTTCTTGACATTAAAATATCAGAAAACTAAGCTAGAATAGCAATACAACCAATTTTTCTCTCCAACACAACCTGAATGTATGAAAATAAATCACAGGTGACTGACAGGACATGCCGTATGACGTCACGTTTCATTTCGACCAATGGTGGGGCATTTTACAGATTTGTAATTCGCTGGTAAATTTTTCACGTTTTGATTTATGTTTTAAATAATTAAATACATATTAAATTAGAAAATAACGAATTAAGTGTAATACTAGGACCTTAAAAGCTCAGGAAAAAAAAAGCAGGCCATTTTATTTTTTATGCATATTCCCTATTATTAAAGTAACAATTTAAGAACAGAACAACAACACACAATTAGTATTAATTCAATTTCGAAAATTCACAAACTGACAGCGTCATACCAATTTAATTGTCACTATCGCTAATAGCGACTTACTAGATAGATAGAGTAGTTGTTCGTAAAATAATTTTTTGCTGCGAACTGGTTTATTTTGGGCAAAAAACCCAAGAGACATTTTTTGTTCAGAATGAAACAGGCTATCGGAAATAAATTTTTAAATGGAAAACAAATAAAACAAAAAGTCACATTGGAAATAAATTTTAGGGGTTGCGTTTTCCACCCCTTACAACCATGGGGTAAACCAAATAAATTTCTGGATAAGTGTCTTTTTGGTAGTACAAAACGTCAGCCTAATTTCAATATTGTAACTTTTTTAGTGATTGTGAAAAAAATTGTTATACAAATTTTATCCTATCCTATCCTATCCTATCCTATCCTAAAGATCCTATTTTTTTGTTCGATGAGGAATCACCTTCTTAAATGTTTTACACTTATTTAGTCACACACTGTATATAATACAAATTTATTCGAATCACGAATAACTATTTTAGGAAATAAAAACTTAAAATCTTTATTTATTCAAATGTTGTGACATCCAGTGACATTCAATACAGTTGCGATGGACATGTTATGATGTGATGAATGAAATGACATTTGTTGTAATGATGCAACGTGGTGAATAATATAACGTCAAGTAATCTAACTTCTTCAAAATAACGTTATTCTTGAACTACACATTTTTCAACAACCACAAATCCCAACAGTTATATATCTAATTTTTATAGCTTTACTACAAAAAAAATGTACTTCCGAAACTGTCAAACATATCAACTACAAAATTACAAACTACATAAAAAATACAAACGAGGTGGTTTCAAACGATTAGTAGTAAGTTTCTTTTCGGTACCATCCATCAGGATATTTACGAAGGCGCCATTTTCTGAATTCGTCGAATATGAAGAGGAATATGGCAAAAGGAAAGGAGTAAATCCACCTGGAAATGAAATATATTTTGAAGAAAATAACGATATGATAAATGAGGAACTACAGATTGTTTTTGAATAATATTCGACTGTTTTTTCTAACCCTCACAACTTTTTTGAGAAGAAAAAAGAGTCTTGTTCACCCATGCTTTCCTGTCCGAAAAAAATATACTCACCATCTGAATAAAATTGGATAGAATTTTAAATAATACATCTTTGGAAGATACGACAACATGCAAGCAACAACTGTTTCTACTACCAAACTAACGTTTAATACCATGTTACCCATTCCTGAAAAAAAGAACACGTAAAAAAACCAAAATTAATTTCCCAAAGTTTTTTTCACACTGAATAATTTCCCAAAATCAATTTTCTTTGAACTTACCCTGTTTACAAATCGAATTTAGCCTGGTCTTACAAACGATCAAATCAGCCCATTGTGTCACCACAACTGATATCATGAAAGCGGTGTAGCAAGTATATTCCAGTTGTTTTCTATGTTCATATGTCCATTCCTGTCCGTAGGAATCCATCAAATCATTTATAGATTCCGAGTCCCATTCTTCACGAATACCTGAAAAAGTGGTGTAACTGAATAAAAACTGCATGAAAGATATCGGGAGAAACATCATGAAAGTAGCGCAAAACCTATTTTCAGTAGTCCATTTCATGACCAAGTTCTTCAAATTCGATAACAACAGGTTTCTAGGTTCTTCTTCAAAAACTGTTTAGAAATATTGAGGTTTTAAGCACCAGATCTGTGCTGAGCTTTCTTTTAACTCAGGAAACGCATATATTTGTGAAAGAAATCGAAGTGAATAATGATAAATATCACACCACAAATGGAGCATTACTTTGACTGCTTCAAAGTTGACCTTTTCCAGTGCAACTTATGAGATAGCCAATGGTAGTTTGAAAAAAATGAGGGACCGTCAAGAAACGCATCAAAAAACATGCAAGGTATTGACATTCACACTAGGAACTGAGCAGATTTCTGAGAAAAAAATGCGATTAATTATTGAACCAACTAAAAACAAATGAAATTAATTAAAAAAGACAATTGAGCGTCTTTAGATCCACACCAGGAATGTTTTTATTTACAGTGTGATCAAACTCGAGTCAGCACTATTGCTAACTTCTTCATTATTGAAGATACGAGTTAGGTCACATTAGAAGACTACTAGTGTTTTTCCGCTGATAAACGTAGTGCTAAAAACAATTGAACATCGGGTTTTCGATTCTTTTCAAAAAATGTACTGTGTAATGAATTTTTTGAAAGCTCTATGAAACTGTCCAATCTATATTCATCAATTAGTTGAGTATATTGGCTAGTCGCAACATGATTATGAGCGGTGACCTAACAGTAGTACAAACTAGGGGTATATTGAAAGTAAGAGAATTTCTCATTCTTCTTGCAGGCACATTAAATCTTATCCGCGTAAGCAGTTCAGGAGAGTTGACTTCATTATTCAGTATTTTGAATAGAAATAATAATATATTTTGGTTTCTTCTATCCCCCGGAGATAATATTCTGAATTCATTTCTCAATTGTGCTGTTCTAACTATTCTGTAGTCAGGATAGATATCGAATATGGAAGACCTGAAAAATCAGCAGTCGCCCATCATATTTTGCAACAAAACCATTCCATAGACTTCAGTTCATTAAGATTAGTTAGACAAGTTAACAACAATAGGCAACTAGATGCCTATGAGAGTGTAGAAATAAGTAAACATAATAATATTATGAATAACGATGACGAACCAATACCAAATAGCATACTATATAGCTTTTTTTGTGGTTTAAAGGCGTCGACTACGAGGGCATTGACCTTCTACTATTAGTTTGTTTATCATTTGCTTTCTTGTTCAAATTTTTGAGTATAGCCCAATAGCTTTCATAAATTTTATAATTCTATCCAGACTTTCATTATGATCTTTCTAACATTCCTTCATAGAATTTGTTATTTCAAATCGATGTCTAGCTCCATCATATTGGACACAATTTAGCAAGATATGTTTCACTGTTAGCCTCTGCCTACATTGTTGGCATATTGGTTGTTGTTCTCCTGAGACCATGAATATGTTAGTTAAGTTGGTATGACCTATTCTAAAGCGTGTAATCACAGTTGGTTCTCTTTGTGTCTTTGGAATAGAATGCCTCCAGGGTGTGATTTTTGGCTTCACCTCTTTCAATTTTGCATCTGTTCTCTCCCAATCAGTTTGCTATAAATCTATAATCTGTTGTTTAAAATAATGTTTTACGTCTTCCGGTCGAATAGGAATATTATTGCAAACATCAGGTATTTAAAATAATATTATTGGATTTACTGATTACTACATAAGGACACATTGTGAAAATAAATTTAGATAGGAATATTGTGAAATTAATTTTTATATAGGTGAAATTTTTTTATAACATTTAAACACTACATAAGGACATATTGTAAAATAATAGATAAGGCAAATTGTAAAATCAATTTGGGGTGGTATACCTGTATGGGTGGTATACCTTCTAGTTTACCTGTATAGTATACTTGTATAGCATAAATAGCGTTTGCTTAGGAAAGTTTCCAGTTTAATAATATTCCTCTTGAAGATGATCACTCGTTGATCGAAACACGTGTCGAGGTGTTAAAAATAACGATTTGGTGTTGGGAAAGAATTCCAGTAATATTCATTACTACACCAAAGTTTCCAAACAGTGCATCATAAGTATTTATTCATCTGTTTTGCCAAATCACCATGGACGGATATAGCATTCAACAACACGTGCAAATAATAAAATTGCTTTATCAAAATAGGTGTTCTGTTCGGGCAACGTACCGCGCGCTTCGCCCATTCTACGGTCGCCATAATCGTCCTACCAAGAGGACTATTCGCAATGTGGTGGATACATTTCAGTCCACTGGTTCAGTAATCGACCGACTAACGCCCTTAGTAGGTCTTTTTTTATACGACGCAAACTTACGAGTATGTTTTTTGAAATGTTCTGAATAGTTCCAAAGCACAGCCCATTGGCTCTCACGCAAACTTGTATGGAATTTTCACTATTTGCTTCAAAGTTAGCACATTTATTTTCAGAATCATTTTTTCTGGAAACATAATAACATTAGATCATTCATGAGCACGGTCGGCATTTTTTCGACACACTATGTATGCTTCAAATATATCACATTTTTCTAAATGACTAAAAACCATTTTGATAATTTTGTTTCAATTTTAAATTTCATGGTTAACTTGACGAAAAGTAAAAAAGGCGAGTAACTCCGTTATTTTTGGTTACAATCAATCAAGGTAGAAATGTACAGGTTGTCTCAATAAAAAAAAATTCTTTGAATGAAATCGAAAATTCGATATTCAATCATTTTTTAATAGTACCACGTTAATAAACGGAAAAGACACTACTAGCTCTCTGATTTGGCAATAGTGCCGACTTAAGTTTGATCACACTGTGTCAAATCAACTTGTACCGAATTCGAAATTATATTTCATATTAGTTACTTCTTAATTTGATAATATCTGATGATTATATATAATGTTTCTTGAATTTGAATTGTTGCATAATGTAGTGTGAGCTACCTATTGAATTTCATACTTTTGAAATAGTTTATTTACCTATTCTGAAGTTCAATGAACTATTCTGCTTGAATGTTTGTTTGAGAGTGATTGACAATGATCTCTACGAACAGAAGATCGAAGAGGTGCTTCAGAAAGGAAAATACACGAAGATCGTAAAAGACCCTACTGCAACAATTGAAAGGAAGTTGTAGCAGACTTTAAAAAAAACACCAAGTCTATTTTTCGTAGAAAGAGAGATCATCGCTAATACCGCACCATAGTGAGCCCCCTCATTTGTATGGACTACCCAAAATCCACAAGAAAGATATACCACTCAGACCGATCATTAGCTCCAGAGATTCAGCCACTCAGAATTTGTCTAGATTTTCACTATCAATAATTAAACCACTGCAAGAAAAAACATCATCTTGTGTGGAAAATTCGAGGCACTACTAGGGGAAATCGAAGTCAAAGACCAGGATCAACTAAAGAAGCCCCGAGTCTGGTTGAGATACGTAGACGACACCTTCATAATATGGAACCATGGGAATGCAGAACTAGACACTTTCCTGAAGCACATCAATAACGTAAGTCCTTCCATTACTTTCACAAGAGAGAAGGAAATCCACAACGAATTGTCATTCTTAGACGTATTGGTGAAGAGGACCGACACTAAATGGGAAACATCTGTGTACGGAAAACCCACTCACACGGGACAGTATCTGAACCAGGAATCTAACCACCATCAATCGACTAAGAGAGGAATCATCAAGACTCTGCTAGACCGTGCTTTCGGGCTCTGCAATACAAAGGAAGGTCTCGAAAAGGAACTAGGCATCATTAAAAATTTATGATGCACTGTTTGGAACCTTTGGTGTAGTAATGAATATTACTGGAGTTTTTTCCTAACACCAAATCGTTATTTTTAACACCTGGACACGTGTTTCGATCACCAAGTGATCATCTTCAAAGAGGAAGATTAAAACTGTTTTAATCTTCCTCTTTGAAGATGATCACTTGGTGATCGAAACACGTGTCGAGGTGTTAAAAGATCAAACACTATCCATAGCACTCTCACGAAAACCAGGCCACCAAACGCGGACTGCGATTCCAAGAATTGCATTTACCGGATACCCTGCGAGTGCGGAAAATCATATATCGGTGAAACTAAGAGGCCATTAAAAGTTCGCTTTGCCGAGCACAAGAAACACACACAGCGAGGATAAACCAGCAATTCCGGAATAGCACAGCATGTTTGGACTCATCAATATAACATCAAGTGGGCTCAAGCTGAAATCATCCACAAGGAGGGACACTGGTTTAGGAGAAAATTCAAAGAAGCCGCATATATGTTGTCCAAAAACGCATTTAGCCAAGCTAGCGTAGAGATACGTAACATATTGAAACCTCTAATCAAGCGGAACACGATCAACTCTCGCTGAAGACGAAGACGTGGATATTAACGATCGAAACGTCGTGAAGTAACTTGGTTTGGAATCTTCTAATTTTATATTTTTAATTTTCATTTCTTGTAAATAATTTTTTAAATTATTTCAGCTCGTGTTAATAGTCCTTTTTTTAAATTGTTGCTTGTGTATTATTTCATTGAAATTTCACTTTTTTGTTTAATAAAATTGTTTTTGCAGCAATTTTTTTTATTTTTTTACAGATTCTTTCAGGAATTTCAAATCAATTTTAGATCAAGATCTTCAGATGATGTGGTGCTGCAGGTTTTTCCGGGTTTTCCTAAGCTGAAAAAGCAAATGCGCCACTGGAATCAATGAAGTCGCCCCGGAGCGCCAATTAATTTTTATTGTTGTTTTTATTTTTATCGTTGTTTTAATAAAACAAATTTTTTTTTATCATATTAGACATTGGGAGTTCGAACTGATGAAATGGAACTGTTTGAATGTATATCAATAAAATGTATATTTCATAACTCTTATTTGAGAGATTTACACTACCTACATAGTTTACAAAACCACAACACTAGTTTCAAAATGCAATAACTTGCAGATTAACTAAAGTGAATTTTTTCACTTGAGTCACTACTTCTGATAACACCAAAAATTTGTGGCTTTTATATTTTGGCTGCTTCTACTGGAACAACTTCGACATTTATTGCCTTCTCGTTGCACTTGGGTTATATTTATACGGAAGAAATGCTTATTTCACATTTTGAACTTATTTGTCTAAACAATGTTTGTTTGTTTATTTAAAATTGTCTTAATTTTCGTTTTGAAAAATTCTGGACAAGGATAATCGAAATTTTTTGACCGTTGCGGATCATAAATCATAGAATTCAGCGAAAATAGCTTATAAATATAGCTCTTCACCTCCTTCCTTCAATACTTTTGTCAATAATTTGATCTTTGTCGCAACAAGTTTTCAATTCAGACCAAGATGTGGCAATAGTTTTGTTTTACAGGGATCTACATCGTAGCATTGATTTAAGTCACACTTTTGATTTTAATTTTTTTTTACTCATATGATGCTCTTTCAGAAACAAACATGTTTTCTTTGAAGAACCATTTGTGTAGTACTATTGCTACTCTTTCATATCAATCAGTACTTACCGAAGAGTCTACTAGGAAAGAATCCATTTTCGGCCATAATGGCGAAGTAAACAAAGAACCCGCCTAGAGCTTCTATCATACCAATATGTCCATAAGCCAGGAAATACAGCTTCCCGGTCACGAGTTTATCTTTCCTCGGGTTTCTGGGTGGGCGCATCATGATGTCGCTTTCGGCCGTTTCATAGGCTAAACTGATAGCTGGCAACATGTCTGTTAGAAGATCTATACATAAAATGGCCATGACACCTGGAAAAGGCAAGTAGAAAAAGCAGTCATTTATGGGGAGCAGAAGGGAGAAGACGAATGAAGACACATTTCTTTGATTTATTCTCTTTCCCAGTTATGAAGTGTGAGCCCTTGAAAACGAGAAACAGTGAGCTTACCTAATGGAAGTGGAATGTTGAGAAGAACAAAACTCAAAAACGGTAAAATTTCCGGTACGTTCGACGCCAGTGTGTAAGCGATAGACTTCTTTAGATTGTCGAATATCCTACGACCTTCCTCGACTCCTGTGATGATCGAGGCGAAATTGTCGTCGAGAAGGATCATGTCTGCGGATTGTTGTGATACTTCTGAGCCAGATATACCCATAGCAATGCCGATATCTGCCTTTTTCAGGGCCGGAGCATCATTCACACCATCCCCTGTGACAGCAACTGAAACAATTTTTTCATTAGTAGACTGTAAATATTGTTGAGGGCTTTAAATCCATTGTAATGAAAAATTAAGCGAATAAATTGATGGATTGGTTGAATAACGCGAGGTTCAAAAACATTCAACAAACACAAACATAATTCTTCAATGAAAATTTGGAATCAAATTCATCATAAATTGTTAAGGAAAAAAGAAACGAGTAAACATATGAATACAAAATACATATAACAGCTAACAACAAAAGTTCTTATATCACAAAAGTTGGTAATAATTCGGTCAGACTTATTGAAATTCATGTAATTGATGGAAAAGGTCGGTTTTCGGTGTCAAAAATATATTACGTCTACCAACTTTTTTTCAAAAAAAACATCACTATGACTATATAAAAAAAGTATTCAGTAAATATCTGAAGACCGTTTCATAAAACTGCTGATTTAAAACTACCATGGAAGGTATTAACATCAAGGTATTAAACTAGTTTTAAGTGAACAAAAAGACAAAAATATTGGATCATGGATGTAGTGAAGTAAAGTCCATCTTCTCTTTTCTCCAGTTGTGTCAGATTGATAAGGCTGAGCTAAAGATGCCAATAATGAGAAAACTTCCAGTTGAAAGACTCATTCCAGATATGAAACCTTTCAGATTCACTGAAATGAATAACTTTGGACCCTTTACAGTGGTAGTTGGAAGACGACAGGAAAAATGATGGGAAATACTATTTACATGTCTTTCGATTGGTGATATGTATTTTGGGGTAGCATATTCATTATCAACCGCTTCCACTATCATGACTTTATGTTGCCAACATAACACAACTAAATCGCTAGGGTGGCGGGTTGGCTGTCTTTGTTCATCTTTCACTGCCTGAACCACTGTGTATGCTGTTTTTGGCGAGTGCATTGGCTTGGGATGTGGGGGTTGAGCAAATCGGCCATCGGATGCCTGCTTCCACGTAGCCCCGCTGGATACGGGAATGACAGAATCACTTGTGGTTCTGTTATTCACTAACTGAATGGCATCCCAACGATGGCTCAATCCTAAGGTGTGTGTATTCGTGCGGGGTGACTGAATGACACTGAGCCTAACAGCTGTCTCTAGGGAACCTTCGAGATACCGGGCACCCTCCCTTCGTAGCATCGCCTTGTCACGGCAATGCGGGGCTCTGCCGTGATTGACCTTCTTTCCCTAGCTACTCGTGGAAGTTTTATGGACAGAGTAAACCTATAAATTCTCTCTAACGCTGAGTCTACAAAGGAGATGGATGTCGAGCTTACGACTCCAACTGACCCCCCTGTAAATTCAGATCAGGAGCGAGAGCTTTACAACTCTCCAACTCCTGATCCAATAATTGAACCGGAAAAAAAAGGCTAGGTGGTGCAGCCAGGAAACGACTGAGTCGTCTCCTCAAGAGCGGGATACCTTATGAAACTGTCTTGCATCAAATTCTTGAGCGGCGTACGCAGAATCTGTCTCAGGTGGAGGAACAAACCCACCATGAGCAGGTTAGCAAACGTTTGCGCTCAAGTGATGATTCACCAAAACCAGAGGCGAAAAAGCCCTTCACGATTGAATCTAAGGCATCGTCAGATGTAGCTGACGTGCAAAAACCCTCATATAGGAAGGTTGTCGCGGGTATCAAAGTGGGAATCTTGGACCTTGACTATCCGACTACCTCATTAACGATGAAACAGCTGAGCATATACTTTGTGCCTGCCCCGCTGGGGACTGAATCAAGTTTTTAGAGTTCGGCAGAGCTGTACTCTTACCATCTGACCTAAAAGACTACTCACCATACAAACTAATCGGCTTCATCAAGAAGCTAGGTTTATTTGATCGAGTGTGAATAGGTGTGAGCCACAATGAACCCTTGCGGGTTGCGGTGGAGGGTCGAATAGACCCACTCACTTTGGACCTAACCTAAATCTCTAGGGTCTATTGAAAAATTGAAAATGGTGTGGAAAGGAATTGATAGTCAAAAGATTCAAGAATATACCCAAATTAATAATACTGAATGGGAAACCATCCCACCGACAGTACCCCACAAGGGAGGGGTATGGGAAAGTTTAGTTCTTTCGGTCACAGTATCGTTCTATACCATTTCATAGACTCAAAAATTGATGGACGAACTGTTGTTAACACTATTCGCTGAAGTAGAGAACATGACTAATACTAGACCAATAACAAAAGTATCTACGGATCCCAACGATTACGAGGCCCTGACATCTAACCATTATCTTCTTGGGAATTCAAATGGAGACAAGTTAGGAGCATTAGACGATTGTGATCTATGGAGACAGTGGAGAAAAATACAATGAGTGACAAATTAATTTTGAAAGATATGGAAAAATTAATATATATCGACACTGACTAGAAGGACCAATGTTAATGATTCGCTTAAAATTATTGAAATTTATATAATTGGCGAAAAAGGTCGGTTTTCGGTGTCAAAGATATATTACGTTTGATAACTTATTTTCAAACAGTATTACTATAAATACGTCAAATAGAGGCATTCAATAAATATCGAAAATCTGTACGATGACGCAACAAGTTTTTTTGATTAGGTTTTATATTCTTGCAAAATTTTAATTTTTTTGGAAATTAAAATAATCCTTAGTGACTTTTCATCTCACGAACTTCATATCAACGGGTTCGAACGTATCTCAGAACTTACCAATTTCTCCCAATCTTTGACAGCCTTCAACGATATGCAATTTTTGTGTTGGTGAAGTCCTCGCGAAAACAATTTCCTTGAAATTGAACAGTATGTTGTCCAATTCCTGGTTGGTGGCATCTCTTAACGCAGAACCATGAATGACTATTGCCTTATCTTTAATATTTGGAGGTAGAGTTTCTAATATGTTCACGTTGAAGGCGTCTATAACGTCTTTTGACTTGATTATGCCGACTTGTTTAGCAATCGCTTTGGCTGTTACCTGGAATGATAAAAAACAGTTTTGAATATTTTCTGAAGAAAACACACATTTTCAAAATGTGAAATAGAGAAAATGTTTGTTAAACGTGTATCTGAGTTTGTAATGTACCTAATGAATGAAACGACCTGAGCTTATGTTTCATGTCTTTCGCTATATCTCTTCGCTATCTGGGATTTCTCAGGACGGACCCTCAGAAATTATCAGCGATGTTGAACTATCCTCAACCTCAAACTGTCACCGAATTGAAGCGTTTTCTTGGAATCTGTGGTTGGTATCGAAGATTTGTTCCTTTCTTCTCTAATCTAACTGTACCAATGACGACACTGATGAAGGGCAAAAGAAAATCTCAAAAGCTTGTGTGGACTGAAGAAGCGGATGAGTTGTTCAAAAAGTTGAAGGAAGCCCTTGTGGGTGCTCCAGTTCGTGTAAGTCCTAATTTCGATAAAATGTTTACCATTCAATGCGATAGGGGTGGGCTGTGTTCCAACACAACAGGATAAAAATGACCAAGAAGTAGTAATTGCGTTTGCTAGTCGGACGTTGACTGCGACGGAACGAAAGTATACTACCACGGAAAAGGAGCTTTGGGCGGTTCTCTTTGGAATAGAGAAGTTTAGATGCTACATTGAGAGGACGATATTCAAGGTCATAACGGATCATTACAGCTGATTATGGCTACACAACCTAAAAAATCCGACCGGCAGACTCGCCAGATGGGGTCAAAATTCAGCAATTTGACATGATTTTAGAACATCGAAAAGGATCGTTAAATACCGGAACCAGACGCGTTATCTCGAGCTTCGGTGGTGGAAATATCTATGTTATATTTGGAGCCGGCCGAATGTGTGAAAGATAGGTGGTATCAGAAAATGATTAATGAGGTGATTTCGAAGTCAGATAAATATTCAAACTGGAAAAAGGACGGGTTACTATATAAACATATACCAGTGGAAAATGAAGTGATTTCCAATTTTGCGGAGTGGAAGTTGGTACTCCCAAAATCTTACAGGAAAGAGGCGTTGATAAGTTGTCATGATGATCCGAAGTCTGCTCATTTGGGAGTGTTCAATAGCCTTTGTCGACTCAAGGAGCTTTATTATTTTCCAAAGTTGCGATGCTACGTTAAAAATTATATAAAGCACTGTAAGATTTGCGCTGCTCAAAAGACGACCAATAGGCAAGGCCTGGCTTTATGAGACAACAACGACAAGTATCTTATCCTCGGCAAACCATTTCGGTTGATAAATGGTGACCACTCCCGAAATCGACTAAGGGATACAGTTACTTACTCGTAGTGTGTGATTATTTTACCAAGTTTGTTCTTCTTCACCCTATGCGAAAAGCGGATGCAAGAACTCTTACGAGATTCATAGAAAATGATGTAGTCCAGTCATTCTAGTAAGTTCACCTCGGAATTCGAGATACCCAGCTGTAAGTCTGTAAATATTCGTATATTGATACCCTAAAAGTTGTCTCAAAACCTACATATGGTAGGGTGTACGCAACTAGTAAATTTCAAGGTCAAAGGTCACAAAAATCGGTTTTTGGCTCTTTTTTGTAAATATCTCATTCCCTATGGGTTTTCTGCTATTTGTATTCATTATCAATATTGTAGAATACAAAATTCTCTACAAATTTTATTTGAAAAAATTTTTCATACGGTGAACCGTTTTCGAGATAGTGGGCAGAGAGCGCGCGGTCACAGTATCACTTCAGGTCAACCGGTGCCTCCGGTCGAAAACGCGCCATATACATATAGTTGATGAACTATCGATAAATCAATGATTATAAATATTTGTCAATTCTTATAAAGTATTATATTATATTTTATCATTTTATCCACTTTTTATTCAGTATTAATTTATTTAACAACACTTACCTGCCCATGTAATTGCAGAATTGTAATTGCAGAATTCATCGTCGTCTTCTGGCTGCTGGTAAATTTCAAACTGGTCTTCATTATCGTCTTCAACGACATTTGTCTCAAGTTCTTTCATGATTTCTGGGTCAAAGGTTCCATCTTCGTTAATGTCGCTCTGATATGGTAGATCATTGAGACAAGCTTGCCCATTTCATTGGCCACAAGCTAAAGAACATTGCAAGTCCGCTTTCCTGCATCCGCATCGCGAACCACAACCACTCTTGCAGTTGCAGAAAATTGTATTTTGCAAATCTTTTGGAGCAGGTGGTAAAATTGTCATGATAGGCTCCAGAAAATCGTTTCGCATTGCCCAACCTCATACCTGGGGTTCCAAATCATGCCCTAACCAAGTTTGAACTTGATAATATACACGTTTGAAATGTTGATGAGCAGCTGCACTTGTTGGTGGAATATTTGAAAGCTGCACAGGTTTATTAAGTTTTGTAGACTTGACGTAATGCATATAACGAAGATGATCGGGACTTTTCACAGATTTCGGAGCATTATAGACTGCCAATAAGGTTTGAGTTCCACTCTCTAATAATCTCTGGGCTGAACAATTTTTTTCCTCAAATGCTGTAGCTAGTTCATCCAAATTTGTCAGTTTCTCAAAAACTCTTAAAAATGATTTTTTTTCCTTTTTAAAAAGCGCAGAAGTTGTATCATAGCCACTTAATGCGTGCAGAAATAAAATATGTTTTTTAGAATGAGGACAATTATCAAAACTTTTAGTCGAGTATATCTCCGTTTTTACATTTCCTTTCCCTTTCCCTTTTTCAAAGAAAATTTCTTGTTCGTAAAACAGTGTACGCCCAATTAAAATGACAAGTAAATCAATATCTTGTCATATTATAACTGCAGTTTTTTCAGACCTTGATTCTTCAATTGCAGTTTCAACAATAAGAACATCCGCATCATCTCTGGCTTGTTTAGTAGTAATATTTGCACCTTGTAATTTTTCAATTAACATATTAATGAGCATATCATTGTTATTTCGATTTTATGAGAATTTTTCTTGAGTAACTGGTACAACCTTTGTTTTATCGAAACAGACTTCATACGTTTTTGAAAGTGCAGAAGTTCTTCTCTGCTGCTCCATAGCTTTTACGATCTTACTGTAGTCTGAATATCCGTCAAATACAACAATTATTTTGGAACTGTAATGCCTTTGTAAATAATTCATGTATTTTTCAATAATAATAGAAAAAGTATCTTCTCTGCTCCATACAACATGATGAAGAAGAAATCCGCCATCAATTTACAACTAATCGTAACAGCATTCCTGGGCTGCATTTCCATTGATAACGCTTCTCTATTAAGTAAATTTCCTGATGGAATCTCTTCCGCTGTTCGTCACTCACAGCGCCCAAATCTAGATGAGAGTCATACATACGTATTTTTTAGGACACATTACACCCCAAAGCTTTATCTGACATTATTAGTTTCTCTATCAAGTCATTGTGTTTTCCGCTTTATGATTTCCTAGAAAATATTGTACAACACTCACAAAACATTTCCGCTCCCGAACTGTAGATACGGTATTTAGATTGGTCGGAAAGTGTGGGAACCGTCTCCTCAGAGTCACCAATTGAAATCAGGCCAACCAGGTGATATAGAAAAAGGAGGGTTCCGTAATATTGGATCATATTCAAAATTCAATAAATTCATCACAACATAAATATTATTACAATGGACTTTAGGAAAGTAAAGTAAGGTTTTATTTCATCGTCACATTGTCGAAAATAAGAAACTTTTGTATCAGGAGAAAGTAAATTCCAGTCCTTCAATCTAGACCCCAAAAGCTCAGCCTGTTTATTTGGACAAATTCAAATCACGTACTAAATCGTTCAAATCACTTTGTGTCAATAAGTGGGGTTCTTTTGAAGTTTGCGGTTCATAACTTGGGTCACTATCTTCATATTCCTCATGCGAACAAGTTCTACCGGACTAGAATCCCTACTTTCTGGTCGATTTGGAGGCTTCGACACAAGCAGTTTGGCACTATGTAGGATGGGTCTGTTGACCGAAGACAAGTTTGGATACTGGATAGTATGTTTGGACTTAGTTGTAATGTCTTTTATTTTTGTTTGACTCAAATAAAAGCTCAACCTTATAGGAGTCTCACACACGTTACACAACATTTATCTGGGACCCAGAACTTATCTTGATGCTGCACAGTAAATCCAAAATATTCTTAAAAGCACTGTTCAATTAATGGGGTGAAATTTCGTCGCTGGAATGTAAAAGCTGATTCTTCACGCACATAACAAAACTGTCAGGGTTAGTAGAACACTTTCGTTGCATATTTGCGATGTACCTAACGAAAATAAAATGTATGTTAGTTGTTGCAATAGCTGTACAGCCGCCTAAATGACGTATATTAGGTCAGAAATGAATATATAGCTGTCACAAAAAACTGGATGTGATTGAAACAACATTATTATATATTTATAATGGGGGTAGGCCAACATAAACAAAACACATCACAAAAATCATGTTACAATAACGCTGTCGACCTGTGTTGGTGTTTCTGATGTTATCCAAAACGGTGCTGACAAATCTCTTGTTCAGAAACTTCGAAATACATCATTGAGGGGAATAGTGTTTCATGTGAGTGTCATTTTATATCAACACTCTTTCATAATACTATATTGTGTAGCAATCCTGTGAATTATATCTGATTCAATTCCATAACGAATGTTTAAAGTAAAAACTGAATAGAAAAGGTAGTTTTCGTAATTCAATGTTTATGTGAAAGCAGTTTCGATGAGATTTTTTTCTTCTGGTTTGTATCTGAATGAAACTTCTGTATATGATCTACGTATACCCATATTCATAAAGAGGTTTCATTGTAGTTATTTCCTTTCTTCTTTTCACTGGAGGTTTCCCACACGTTTTGTCCAGTGATGAAAAAGTAGAAAACCAAAACCATCAACTTAACTAATGGCTTACTTCTCGTGATTGTATCTACTTATTGTACTAACATTTTATTGAAATATAGTGAAAAGTTCAATGGAAAACTGACTTTCTGAAATTTTAAATCAACTAAATTTCGACAAAATGAATTCTGATTTCAAAAAATGTTTCATGAAATTCTGAATGAAATTTCAAAAAATAATCTTATACATTCATGTTAATTTTGAATGAAAATTCTGAAAATTTCAACAAGATGTTAGATAACGGATGTTTTGAATGAAATTGAATAATATTGTGGAGCAATTTTTTTTCAAAATGTTGGAGAATTGGCGCACCTGTGAAGAATTTTTAAAATTTCCTGAAAAATTTGTTTAAGTTCTGTATAAAAATCTAAATCTATATTCATATCAAAAAAGTTGATGATATTTAGAAAAAGAATTGTGGTTCTTAGTTTTGGAATTGAATTGACTGAAGCTTCTACCACTTTTTCACAACTTTTCTAAGGTGTTTCTATTAATCAACAAAAAATTCCTATAAAAAGTATCAACAATTGAATCGAGTTCTTAAAACATGTCGACACTCCGACTAATTTCATAAAATAATGCAATTACTAAGGATACACTATAAAACAACACTTTTGTCTATTTTCCACGTTAGTTTTATATTTGTTGACTAGTTTAGGTCATTACATCATTTTCAAAACTAACTAGGTTACATTCAAATCTGAGTATTTATACCTACATTGCCTATGCCTATCATAAATAATATGATACCTACATTGTCTATACCTGGCATAACCTCAATTGATAGCAGTATATGGATGAACATAACAAACAATTTTGATAAAATGTAGGTTTTGGGAACTGGGTTATAGGTTCAGGACAGGAAATTGTATGTATCAAATTATTAATGATAGGTATAGCCAATGTATGCATAAATACTCAGATTGGAATGTAATCTAGTTAGTTTTGAAAATGGTGTAATGACCGAAACTAGTCAATGAATATAAAACTATCGGAAAAGGTGTATATAACCAAAAGGTAGTCAGAAAAGAAACATAATATTTCGAATTGAGATTGTAATAAAAATCACATAAGCTAGAGNCGTGTGCACGAAACGCCACCGCTCGTTTCGTGCGCGTCATGTCGATGTTGTTGCAGGCATCTCCACCGTTACGCCGTCCTCTCGCCTCGCCATCGTTCGGCTGTCGTCATTTTCGTGCCCGCAGCCTAAAGACAATATAGTAATCACTGAAAATTGTACTGCGAAAAAAAAAATCAGATTGTTTCAAACGTTTTGTCCGTTTCAAAGGCATGTATTTTTGTAGACAGAGAACTATGTACTGTATACAATGGTAGGAAGGCCAGCATCATGAGCGACGATAACATTCTTCATTCTATGATTTTTCAATATGAATTAGTTCAATTCACAAGTTAGTCATTCTTTTTTAACTTCCGATAAAATAATAACAGAATATTGTAAATGGAACATTAAGTGAGTCTTAGTACTTCGTACGGTATAATAGTGAGGACAATGCCCTGTTTTGAAAGAGGTAGAAAACTAGATTTTCAACTGTGCCGTTGTTAATTTAAATAATCATAACAGGTAACTACTGGTGTAGGAATTGAATTTTTTATCAACTTATCAGGCACTTCGGATATACGAGCGTTGAACTGAATATATATTGCTGATATCCTGATATACACAAATGGTAATTACAACTATCCCGAAATAGTAGCCATCTTGAAAGTTTCATCTGTCAATTTCACTCCAAAATAAAGTATTGATGCATTACTTTCATTATCCCAAATTTCATTTTTTTGAGTTGATCCTTTCAAAAAATTAAAAAAGGGGGGGAACTTTAAACAAATGCACTACATAAAACATGCTTGAATTTATAGATACAACAGAAACATTATTTGAACCGTTGATATTGTTTGCATTACACCCAAATAATGGAACAATATTGCTCAAGAAAAGATAAGTCGCTTGATTATTTTAATCCACAGTCGTGTCAATGTGTTACTCAAAAACAAATGAGGTCACATTGACTACTTTATTGATGTTTAGTCATAATACACAGATGTTTTGTAAGTTTATGTTCTAAATCAATTCACCTAAAAATTACAACATTTTTCTTATGTTGGTTTTGTTATTGTT